AAGGCAGGGCCGACCCCCCAGGTTCCGAAACACCCGTTGCAGCACCCCCTCGGTACCCACCGCAGGAACACCTGCCCAGCCCCCAGCCCCAGCCCCAGGCCCCTTCTCAAGGCTCTGCTTCTAGAACGTTCCTGCTTACCAGGGACAGACAGGCACTGCTTGCTGGTCCGCAGAGGGCCTGGAAGAGCAACTTTTAAGGACGTGGGTGACTTTGATGGCAGGCCAGAGTGCTCCTTCTCCGACAGACGACAGACCAGCTCTGTGGGGACTGGAGTTTATGTGTCTGTTTATTCCCGTGGCACTTGGGAGCAGGGCGGCGGTTCCTCTGTTTGTCAACCGATTGCACCTTTAAGGCTGGAGCGGTGGATGTAAACCAATAAGGTCGCAAAGTGAAACTGAGAACACCATGTGGGCCTGGGTGCCCACAGCCTGCGGGTTACCTCTGATAGTTCTGTTTGGTGCCTTTGCAGATCTGTCTTGTCAGTTTTCATAGTTTCCCGTTCCCTGCGGGCATTCTTGAGCTCATTTTAAATTTTCTTTAACGCCGTAAGCGCACTTATTTTATATCCGTATCTTATGATTCTAATATGTCAGGTCTTTGTGAATTTGTGTGTTTGTGCTTGTTGTTTCTCTGGGTTCTCATGCTTAGTGTGTCATGCTTACCCGAGTATGTGCTTTTCTCTGTGTTGTAGATGTCACCTTTAAAAAGAAGCATTTGTCGAAGTATTTGAGGTCCAAGAGGGATCTTTTCTTCTGACTTCATTTTTAACGTCACGCGTGCGAGACGCTGTCACAGAAAGACTGCCTTGAGCAAGTCTGAGGACTCTGTCCTACTGTGTGCTTATAGGAAGGATGGGTTACGGCTGAGCGTTGGGCACTTTGGGGTCCTTTCTAAAAGTGATATGGGACGATGTCCTCCAGTCTGGGCGGACGGTGGGCTGTCACTTTTGTCTCCTGTGCCCTGCGAGACCACCAAATCCCAAACCAGGAGTGCCAGGTTTAAGTTGTTTCTACTCGATCCTTAAATACTCTCCGGGGAAAAAGTGACATCGTGGACTGGGCTAAACTCTCTGGATTCTCATTTTGCCTAGATTTTGGGCTAGAAACTCCTCACTCTCCTGTTAGGTTTGAAGCTTAAGATTTATTTTATTCCATCCAGAGTTCTAAAAAGACCTTCCATGGGAGTATTGTTCTGTCTGGCCACCATGACCCTAAGATCAACGTTTCTGAGTAACTGTGAGTAACGGGCAGTCCTGGTCGGG